TGCGCCAGTCCCCGGGGGGGCGGGGCCGTGGGTAGGACCCAACTCAGAGAAGGGTGCTTGAAATACTTGCTGGGGGGACAGTGGGAAAGCTCGTCTGGAGACATCCATAGAGGGAAGGCCAAAGCGGGGTGTTCACATCGGAAGGGAACCCCATGAGTCAGGCGGGGAGCAAGAGGGGCAGTTGTGGGGATCCAGTTTGGCAGCCTTTGGGTCGCTGCTTATCTGCGTAAGCAGAGTTCAGGCTTAGCCAGGGTAACCGGGCATGGGTCTGCCGTATCGCAGTGAACCATCTCTCCTCCAGCCACGTCATCCATGCGACACACAGACACCAGCACGCCCAGCCGGCCGTCGGCACCAGCGGAGAAGGCGGCCCCGGGGCTGGGACCGGACCTCCGGGTGTGCTGGGCATGAGCATGGGATTTCCCGGGGCTGTGGGGAGCGCTGCTGGCTGGCAGGGCCGTCGGGGAGCTGCGAGAGGCTCCTCTGCTGCCGCCTCTCGGGGTTCAGTCTGCTGCTCCCGGCCAAACGCCGCCTCACACTGCCAGCCCGCTTTTCCTGGGGTTTGTACACATGAAATCCAAAAATGGATGCTGGCTGTGAGGATTTGCAATTAGAAGGGGGCATGCAGGAGCTCAAATTCTCCCTTCAGACTCTTTCTCAGATCTCCACATGGAGTTGTCCACTTGTTCATCACCAGTGTGAGCTGGTATCACACCAGCTCTGCACTGGAGGTGCTATGGACCCACAGTAAGCCAAAGTTTTCATTTCTAGGCCCTAGCAACTCCTCAAGCCGCTGGTGAACATCTCCCTCAGCATCCCGTGGCTCAGCCGGCAGTGCCCTCTCAGCACGCTGTGATGGTACGTGGTTTATTTCTGTTAAACGCACTGGTATGGCCAGTCAGCGGGGCAGACTAGGAGGCTCTGGTTCACTGCTCTTCCCTCCTTGCTGGCTGGTCCCAGCAAGGTTTCAGTGCCCTTGCTGTTGCTGTTACTGAGATTTACCTGCAACCAAATTATTGCAACCACTTATTTCAGTGAGGAGACGGAGCAGGTAGGACACCCAAGGAAACAGCTTAGAAGAAGGTTTGTCCGTGTCAAAACCATTGGGGGCTGCTGAAGGCTCATCTCTGAATTGCTAGCAACTAACTACGGGCTGATACGATGCTGAAGAGTTTTATTGCCCTGGTAGAGGAAGGGGATGTCACGGAAGGTTGAAGTTAGGCCAGAAAAAAAAAAAAAACAACCCACAAGAAAAATGTGGGAGTCACAAACCGTAACTACGAGACCTGTCCTCACAGAGCTTTCAGGCCAGTGGAGTAAACATACACACTGTAATACAGGGATGGAAGATGGCCAGTGTAGGCGTGAAGGATGGATACCAGGGTGGGATTACGACCTAACCTGGGCCTGGCATTGGGAAATATAATTAGCAGCACAGCTGAAAGCCCAGCCTGGAGGCGCAGCAAGGGTTTGCATGCAGCATCTGCTACAAAACATGAGTGGTCCAATATTAGGAGGGAGTCATGCTGAAGGGAGAGGGGAGTCCCATGTGCAGACACTACGTCTGCGCAGGGACTTAACAGAGCAAGATCTGGAGCTAGGCACTGAGCATGAGCCGGTTGTGCTGCTGCTCTGGACGTACGGTGCTACTTTGGTTAAATATGCAATTGCCATTTACTGTCAGCATCATATTTTCTGTGGCAAAAGCTGAAAAGCAGTCATTTTGCTGAAGCCAGCATCACTATGAATGGGAGTTGCAGGACTGATCCCATGATCTTGTTCTCTGTTCTCCGCAGCCAGTGTACCACTTCCCGACCCAGCTGGGGATGATGCATCAGCTGAAAGAGCAGCTGGAGGAGAGGACTCGCATCCTGCAAGCTGACATCAAGACGCAGCAAGAAGAGCTCCACGTCATCAAGGAGCAGCTCCAGCTGGTGCAGGACTCCAACCTGCAGGTACCTGAGGTTCCCAAACCCACAAACCGTTTACTTTTCCTTTGAGCACAGGGATCAGTAACAAAAATTGTCGGTGGCAAAAGCATTTAGAAATGAGCTCTGGCTAAATTGGTGGTTTGGTCTCGGACATGGGAGTAGTGTCTTCTGAGAGATGAGTGGCATCAGTATCTGCTGAAGTACTGAATCAGTAATTTTCATTATTTAGAAAAAAAACTCCCAAGCTGATCCGAAGTGCCCCCCTACACAAAAAGCTTGGCGGTTCGGTGGCTGGTTAGTGCTGCTGGATCCCCAGTGCCATTCCTGAAAAACGCAACAGGCGTAATGCAGCTGCAACCGTCGTGGCTCTGAATAAATATTTGGGTGCAAGCTAACATTTGGTTTTCTGTTATTCATGGTTCACTTTGCCCCTGGATTTAGAGGTGTTGCTGCTGCAGTGTTACATATGTTGATAGAGACAGCCTGGGAGCTGGAGACAGTATCTCCCAGGCAGTACAACCACTGTAGGAGCTGCAACAACTCATGTCTCTTTTATTTAAAGATGCTGATGCAGCAGCCGATCCCGGGGACGAGGCCCTACGGCAGCCCCCCCCTGCCGGCCCCACGCCAGTTCCTCAGGGACCCCTGCGGCACGGCCGCCCAGGTCGCTGGCTGCTTCGCTGCCTTCATCATCCCCTTTTCTGGCTTTTAAATACTTGTCTGCCGTGTCCACCCTCCCCGTGGGCCCGCGCATCTCCTCTGTGCTGATTTTACTCCTCGAGAGTCAGCTGCGATGCGATTTTACAGTTGATGCCATTCAGCTGTAAAAATAAAAGCCAGGTAGCCTAAACGCATTAAATGCTGGGGACCTTTGGAACCGTCTTGGTGACCGGAGGAACGGAGTGGGGGATTTGGGCTGTCATTCACTTCTGTTTGCGATTGCAACCTGATGCTCGTTCATAGCCGGTGAGGGTTGTGACTTCGTAATCTGGGGAAGCAGGCATAATTTTAAAAGATTAATTTTCTTCTGCCCGAGAAGTCTTGGAGGGCAGCTTTGAAAAGTTTGTCATCGCTAGACCTAAATCCACTGTATAGATGGTCACATCTCCTTGGGAAAGAACTGAGGTGTCCAAAAGCAAAAAAGACCAAAACTACTGCTTTAAAGGACAGATGAGACGCTTTCCTTGGATCCTTTGGATCTGCACTCCTCCTCCCCTCTCAAGCTGATCCCTTCTCCCTCGAGCCCTGCGTGCCCTTACCCTTGTACTCTGATTTCTGAAGAGACCGTCTGCTCCTGCCGCAGGGGATCCCAGCGCCTGCTGTGCGGGGGCAATAAATGCAGATGGGTTGGTTGTCCTGAACAGAGCTGTGTTCAGGGAGAATATCCTACTATTGCTTCTCCTTTTCCTACCTGCATACTGGAAGCAGTTATTTTAGCCTTCTGTTAGGGAGCTTTAAAAGCTTACGTGGGTATCTATGTGTTCATTTCAGGTGCAGCAGCAGCAGCACCTAATGAGAGGTAACCAAGCCCAGCAAACGTGTCTGCCGGGGCAGACGAGCATTTCAGTGCCCCTCTACAACAACCCCATGGTGTTTTCGCAAGCGCATCCCATCACAGTGGCTGCACAGATGCCGACTGATGGCAGCGAAAGGCAACCGCAGTCTGACTACAGCCAGGACAGGAGCCTCAGGTACGAACGTCCGGATGGCGATGACAGAAAACAGCAATAGCTGGGTGGTGGGGAGGGCTGGCACGGCTAGGCTCGGGGGGTGGTGGTCTCTGGGTGCCACAGCAAGGATGTAGGGATGTTCCCTGCTGCAGAGATCTGGGTTAGTGGCGAGCCCAGGGTGCCTGCAAGCAGGGTGCTCTGCACACCATGCTGTGCCCTCAGGGGCCCGAAATGCTTTTCTCTCCATGTTTCCATAAATTGTCCGTGTAGCTCTGTAACCTTTGGACATCTGCTGCTCTCAGAGGGAGTGAACAGGAAAAACTAGTAGGGACAGCTTTGCCCAAACCTGTGTCTGCTTGCTCTGGAGCTCCAGAGTGTCTTTTCTCCAGCCAGAACAAGGTCGAATGGTGAAGCCATTTTTTTTTATAGAGTGCCGGAAACATTGTATGAAACATAGCATCATAGAATCATTAAGGTTAGAAAAGACCTCTCAGATTATTGAGTCCAACTGTCAAACCAACACCACCATGCCTGCTAAACCATGTCCCCAAGTGCCGCATCTACACATGCCACATCACCTCCAGGGACAGTGACCCCACCACCTCCCTGGGCAGCCTGTTCCAGTGCCTGACCACTCTTTCAGGAAAGAAATTGTTCCTAATATCCAATCTAAACCTCCCCCAATGCAACTTGAGGCCTTTTCCTCTTGTCCTATCGCTAGTTACTTGGGAGAAGAGACCAACTCCCACCTCACTACAACTTCCCTTCAGGTAGTTGTAGAGAGCAATAAGGTCTCCCCTCAGCCTCCTCTTCTCCAGACTTA